TGAGAGAAGGCACGGATTCCTGCAGCTGCAGCACGCTGGGAGCAGTGCCTGTGCCCCCGGGAAGGTCCTGCCTCTCCATGGCACGGGACACAGAGCTGCCACCCATCCTCTGCCCACTTGTCCCACCTGGCACAGGCTGAGGAACCACCCCAGGATCGTTCTGAGTCTTGCTTCCACCTGGAACTTGATACTGAGCTGCTAAAAAAGCAGGGTTACCCCTTCCAGAGCTGCTGCTGTGCAGGAGGCTGAGGATGGGGAGGGCTTTTACAAGGGTGTGCAGTGCTGGGGTAAGTGAGAACAGGTTTTAGCTGAAGGAGTGTATGTTTAGATTAAATATTAGGAAGAAATTATTATCTGTGGATGCTCTAAAAGCTGTGGGTGAGGGGGTGGCTGCGGGGATGTCCGGACATTGAGATGAAGCGGAGCCAGCAGAGGGATAGAGGGATGAGCCATCAGCTGGGATTTCTCCAGCACTTAAAAGCCTCCTTCACATTCTGTGCCATGAAACACAGCCGTGATTTTTGCTTTACAAGTGTGATTGCTTATAACAGCATGAAATTACAGCCAGAGCTGGTCAGCCTGGCAGCAGATAAGCAGAGCTGGGAGTGTGGCATTGTGTTGGTACTTGGGGAGGGAGGGTGGGTGGGTGGCAGCCCCAGGTGAGCCACATCTCTGGGCTATCCCAGTGGGGAGCCCAGAGGAGATGGATGGGCAGAAAGGATGAGTCGAGGGGCTCAAATTGGGAATAAACACATGGGTGTCCTGTCCAGGGCATCCTCACCCTCTCATTTGGGGACTCCAGTTCTGAGCGCCCTGGGTGCTGCTTCAACACTGCTCTGTCCCTCCCTAAACCCCTGTCATTTTCCTCACTTTCATAAGCTTTTTTGCCTCTCTGAGGAAAAATGTCTCCATTTACTCATCACTGCTCTAATTCCATTTGCGAGCTGTGGGTGTCAGCCAGAGGTGGGCCAGCGAGACCCGGGAAGGATTCCTGGCAGAAGGAGCCTGTGTGTGCTGGGTGGGATTGATTTCACGGTGCAGAAGCCACTCAGCAGCAGCCCTGCCTGCCCTGCCTGCCCTCCTGCCGTGCACAGCACTGTGGAAAATGCACTTATTCGCATATTAGACCCATTCTCTGAAGTTCAAACCTTCCAGGTATTTCTGGTCCCTCCCAGTCTTGCCATCCCCTTTCATCCCCTTTCATCCCACTGCCCCTGCACCTCCCTGGTTCTGCTCTGCTTCCCGTGCTTGTCAGAGGGCAAATAAATCAGCTGGGGGCTGGCCCAGGGCTGGGGGCTGGGAGATTTTCCTGGCCACTGCGCTCTGCCAGCCTGACCTTTGCAGGGAGCAGCCCAGGAGTGCTGCACATGGCATTCCCTGTGCCACAGCAGCAGCACGGCCAGGAAAAGGCCATTCCCAGTGCCTGGATCAGTGCTCTGTGCCCAGAAAGCCTCGAGCATCCTGGCCTGGCAGCAGAGGCCTTTGTGGGATGGGCAGGGCTGGTGGGACAGGGCTCAGGGCTGCTCTGGGAAGCACCGGGTGCCTCTGCCCCTTCCTCAGACCCTGCCAGATCCCTGTGGCTGATGCTGAGTCTTCCACCCTGAACCAAGCTGACAGCCTCCAAAAATCCTGTTGATGGATGAGCTCATTAAGCAGGGGTGCACTGTGAGGGAAGGAGGGGAGCAGATGACTTATTGCCTTCACTGGGGGCTTTGCTGGCAGTGTGAGGAACGTTCATTCCTGTCACCCTGTTCTTTCGAGAGTCCTAAAGGGTTTTTAAAAGCTCTTATGTCTTCTAATATTTAGGTATTTCAACTGAGTTTTCTCATGCATGTTCATGTAAATAATGATTGTTTTAAAAGTCCTTATGTCTTCTAATATTTACGTATTTCAACTGAGTTTTCTCACGCATGTTCATGTAAATAATGATTGCTTTGCATTCTTCTTTGTGAGTAGGGAGAATTGATGAACTGTTGGTTTGACCAGTGTAACTGGAGAGGTGGCAGTTTCACCCTCCAACCCACTGTCACTTTTGCTATTCTATATATATAGTAGAGTCAAAAAATAACGTTTGCTTTTTTAGGTTCTTTTTCTTTCCTTTTACATCTAACCTGCTTCTGTGAGTGATTTATTTCCTCTTCCCCAAGGCCAGGGAAGCAGCAGGTGTGTTCATCACTGCAGCGTGGCCTGAGGCACTGGGAGCCAGACAGAGCTTGGGGTGCTCCTTGCTGGTCTCTATCCAGCTCCAACGATCCATTTCCAGCTCTCAGAAGGAGCCCCTGAGATGATCCAAAGCAGCCAAGGGCTAGAAATGTGTCTGCAGCCAGGGGAGACACCTCAGTGTGCTGGAGAGCCTTTTCCACGCTCAGCACTCATGGTTAGCTCATCCCCGTGTGCTCACAGCGTGGATATCCAAAGGGGGATGATCCAGCACAGGAGTGGGAGGGATTTGGATTTTTCTTTCAGGGACCATGTTTATTTTCTTGGCACGCTTCAAGGAGTTCTGTGCAGCAGTGTAGAGGATGAGCAGGCTCTTCTCAGGGGTGCCTGGGTACACTTTTGGCAAGGGATCAGGGATCCAGGGGCTGAGTGGAGCTGGACTCTGCCCTCCAGCACTGCTGAAGATGCTGAGATGCTCTGGGGTTCATGGCCCAGGGGGGACACAAATTGGTTTACCCAAGTTTGTGTGCTCCTGAAGGGAGAATGAGAGTTTGAGCAGGGGAAGGCTCCTGGCTGTATCAGAGAGAAGATTTGCAGTGCTGGCTGCAGGATCAAGGGCTGCATTAGCGTTGAGCTCAGGCGTGGTGAGATTTCCTAACTCAGCACAAGGCTGTGCTGGCCTCTAAACCTCACAGAGCATGGGGCAGAGACAGCCCCTGCCTTGCAGGACTATTTGGGGTCTTGATTCATCAGTGTCTCCTCAACACCCCCATTCCCAGAGGGGAAGGATGCCCTGGCAGTGCAACCCCCAGTCCTGGCTGCTGGCTGTGCATCAACGTGGCACCTGAAACCAGCAGGAGCCCAGCTCCAGTCTCAGGGACAGAGGAAGATGATTGAGGAAGGCTGGGGGAATAAAACCCCCCTCTCCCCTCATCCTTCTGCTGCAGCTCTGCCCTGGCACAGGGGAAAGGCCTCATGCTGGGCTTCAGGCAGAAAGAGCAGGTGATGGTTGTAAAGGCTGGTGTTGGTCGCAGGAATGAGTTATCCCAGGAAAAATGCAGATTCTCTGCCCCTGTGAGCTCCTGGAGCTTTGATATGCTCCCTCTGTACGTGAGAGAGCCAAAGTGAGCATGGAATCAGCACCATCTTCCCCCCGGAGCTCTTCTTCAGGCTTCACTTGGTGTCATAATGATCCAATCAATCCCAGGAGGCTCCAAATAATTATTAATTAAGGCAATGATTGGGTGATTTGGCCGTCATTGCAGCTGTCTTTCACGGGGAGAGAGAAAAGCTTGTTCCTTTCTTATTTTTCCCTAAAGCCTGACTCTGATGGCACGCGGCTGCTCTGCAGAACACAATGTAATAGCAGGGTGAGTCACAGCCAAGGATTTGTATTCAATATCGGTTCGGATTACATTAGCTTTGCCTAATGCCTGAGCAATAAAGTGCCTCTTCATTGTATAGCTGCAATTTATTTCGGCTCCTGGGTTGGTACAGAGCAAACATCCATCACGCAGCAACACGTGTGCCCTGCAAGGGGAGCAGGCTGGGGGATGCCAGCTCTGCCTCTGTTCCTGCCCTCTCCCACCAGGAGCTCCCATTCTTGTGGAATCCCAAAAGGTTTGGGTTGGAAGGGACATCAAAGCCCATCTTATCCCATTCCCTGCCGTGGATAGGGGCACTTTCTGCCAGAGCACATTGCTCCAAGGCCTGTCCAACCTGGGATGGGGAATCAAACCTGCCCGGGTGTCCCACCAGAGCCCAGCTGGACACAGTGGCCTGTTCCCCCAGTGGGGTGTTGTCCTGGGTGCTCCACTCCAGGAGCAGATCCCTGAATCCCTGTAGGAATCCAGAGGTCCTGGAGGAGCATCCCAGCCCCCTGCCATGCTCCCTGCAGGGTACAGGCTGCATCTGCTGCTTCTCAGCGCTGAGCAAGGGCTCAGCCCGGGATGTGGATCCTCCTGTTATAAATGAGAATTTATTCAGCCAGATTAAAAATAAAAAATAATTTTATTAGCGGTCAAATTCTATCTAGCCAGCCACGGAAAAAGACAGAGCCGAGCCCGGGGTCAGCCCTGGGTGTGCAACAAGAATTCAGCCTCAGGAGAGGTTTCCCCTATGCCCACACACCTCCATCCTGGCCCAAGCGGTTTTTATAGGGAAAATTCCGCCTGAGGCCAAGATTTCAGCAATCAGTCTTTTCTTCTATTCAGAGTCTATAGGTTAATAAGATTTTCTTTTTTTGGTGATGAGGAGAAATAATTCAATGTCCGGAGTAGGTGAATCCCTGATGAGAGTTTACGGGAAGGCTGCATTCACATGGATCTGTCTGAGGATTTCCACGAGATCCATCTTGGGCCATTTATGCGATGATCAGCACCGATGACAGCCACATCCTTTTATTTGTAAATCAGTTTCCAATATACACCCGGACTCACCTGCAAAGGGGGGGAACTAATACAACGGGCATAATCTAACAAGTATCCAATATTCCATATTTCATACAAGGGATGGCGTGAATTATATTCACTACACATAACACTCCTGAGCCCCTGTGGACCCGGCAGGGGCCGAGCTGGTGGCGTTCTGCTCCATCCCCTCTCTGCCAGCCTCTCCTCGCTGCCTTCCCCACTCGTGCCGTTCCCCTGCGTGCGGATGCTTTGGCAGAGGAGGAGAGATGCAGAAAAGCAGCCAAGGCTGCGAGAGCACAGCCCGGGCTCTGCTCTGCTGCAGCTGCTTGGCAAAGATTCCCGTGCCGGGCTCTGGCAGCTCAGCGCCGCCGGCACAGCCCAGAGCAAGGGCGAGGGGACAGCCAGCATTGCTTTTTTTAGTTGGCAGAGGGCTGGGAAAAACGGAGCGTTTTCCTTTGGCTGCCCTAAGGGACCCAGCGCTGATTCACGTGGGCAGCGGTGAGTAAGAGCCTTATCTTTATTTACTCGGTGGTTTCGTGCCGGAGCTGTGGAACACCTCGGAGGAGGATGGGCAGGTCCAGAAGGAGCCTCCGTGAGCGCTTCCAGCCTGGTGCTGCTGAGAGCAGAGCTGAGCTAGTCACTGATGCTTTCTGAGCAGGGCAGAGGTCCCTTTTTGCCTGGCACAGAGGCACTGGGCTTGCTGAAGGAGCTGTTATGTGTAGTAAATATAATTCACGCCATCCCTTGTATGAAATATGGAATATTGGATACTTGTTAGATTATGCCCGTTTGTATTAGTTCCCCCCCTTTGCAGGTGAGTCCGGGTGTATATTGGAAACTGATTTACAAGTAAAAGGATGTGGCTGGGCCAGGAGATGGGCCAAGGCTGGACTCCATGGGACTCCAGGTATTGATCATCGGGTGCTGATCATCGCATAAATGGCCCAAGATGGATCTCGTGGAAATCCTCAGACAGATCCATGTGAATGCAGCCTTCCTGTAAATCTCATCAGGGATTCACCTACTCTGGACATTGAATTATTCCTCCTCATCACCAAAAAGGAAAATCTTATTAACCTGTGGACTCTGAATAGAAGAAAAGACTGATTGCTGAAATCTTGGCCTCAGGCGGAATTTTCCTATAAAAACCGCTTGGGCCAGGATGGAGGTGTGTGGGCATAGGGGAAACCTCTGCTGAGGCTGAATTCTTGTTGCACACCCAGGGCTGACCCCGGGCTCGGCTCTGTCTTTTTCCATGGCTGGCTAGATAGAATTTGACCGCTAATAAAATTATTTTTTATTTTTAACCTGGCTGAATAAATTCTCATTTATAACAGAGGGAACCGGCCACAGCTTTGCTGGGAGAAGCTGCCAGGGATTTTTTTATTGCCGAGGGAGCACCCCTGCATCTCCTCCTGGTCCCGTCCTGTTTGTCACCCGGCCAGGAGGGACCCATGGGTGTCCCCAGGGAGCTCTCCACAGTGTCCCCAGCGGGGATGGACACATCAAAAAAGCCACCACCACACAGCGACCCGGCTCTGCACCGCTCGCCAGGCGGTGACACAAAGTCCTGCGGGATGTGGGAACGAAGGAAGCGGCGCCAGGGCTGTGCTGGCAGAGAGGAATGTCCCTGGGATGGGCTCCTTAGGGCTGAGTGATACCATCACCATTTATTAGCTCACGGTGTTCTCGGGGCCCTGCCACTGCCAGTGTCACTGCCCGGGGACAAGGAGAGCTGTCCTGCAGAACTGCCGCCGGGTGGAGAGGTGTTAGAGGTGACATCTGATTGCTGAGAACACCTCAGCCAGGGGCTGCCAGCAGAGCTGGGCCAGTGCCAGCTCTGAGCTCCACAGCCACCTGCAGGACACCAGCAGCACCCTCTGCTTCCCTGACAGAACCCCGGGCTGGTTCAGGGGCTCCGTGTGCTGGAAAAGTCTCTCCTCCAGCCCGTGCTTCCAAAGAAAGGCTCAGCAGCCTCTGTTGTTCTGTCTCAAGGCAGTTTATTGCAAGTTATCTAAAAGATTTTTTTCTGGGGCTTCTGTGGTTTGCTCACAGCTCAGGCAGAGGCACACACACACCCTGACATCCTCTCTGACCCCGACTGCTTCTTCTCTCCCCGCCAGGGCTGCTGCTGTTTTTTATATGGGACATTACGTTACATGGTTAGTTTTTCCCCAATGCCTATTACCTATATTAAATGGTGCCTTTCTCTTCTAAACCAATCTGTGAGTGCAAACATCACCAAGAACATGGAGGTAAGGAAGAAGAAAGAGGGAGGACAGGGCAGGCCCAAATCCCTCCATCTGAAAACCTCTGACCCCCATGTACAAAGTAAAAACTCCCCTGTACAGGTGTTAAAAACCGCCTGTACAGCACTAAAAAATTCTCCCCTCTACTTTGTAACTACTTCTACTGTAATATCTAAACTTTTGTGACTTCTTATTCTTGCTGCAAGGTTGGTAACTCATTCCATGGCTCAAATCCAAAATCACAGCTGTTTCCAGCTGCCTGCTAAGGTCTCAAATGCTTCTGACCAGGGCCTGGAACCTCCAAAAATGTCTCAGGGACATTTTGATTTCTGACACTTCCCCACCCGCATTTCCCAGGAGCCAAGAGCTCTCCCGGGGCCTCTCTGGGAGTGTTTGCTGCTGGATAACCCAGGAGCAGCCCCGTGTGTGGCACAGCACCACCTCACCTGTGGTCTGGTGGCCAAGCCAGAGCCCTGCAGGGTGCATTGTCACCCTCTTGTTCCCTCACGTGTGCTGGTGGCACGGCTGTGGCAGCAGCTGTGGGAGAGAGCCACAAGGACTGAGCAGGGCAGGGGATTCCCTCAGTGCTTCCCAGGCTGCTGGGATGAGATTGGGAATCCCTGAGCCCTGATCATCCCACAAAGCCAGCACTGCTCCCACTGAGGAGCCTAATCCCTGGGGCTGATGCTAAACCTGTTAGTGCTGACAGGAGCTGATGGCTCCATGCCCAGGGTGCTCCTCTGGCATTAAGAAAGAGTCCCCATCCCACAAAGCTGGGGTAAAAAGCCCTGTTTGCTGGGTCTGCTGTGTCCCATGGGAGTGGGGGAATCTGGATTCCTTGGTAAATCTGCTGCCATCCAAGAAAAAAAACACATTTGAATCAAATCCAAGGCAACGCTGCGATCTAGACACAGGAAATATAGGCCATGCTCACAAACTGGGAGGTTGTGTCCCAGAAAACATCAAATGTGAAAATACTTTAGAGGCTGGAGGAGCAAAAGCAGCTCCACAGGCATTCTTAGAGCTCTGGCACCCTCCAAGGCTGGAGCCAGTGACCCCAGCACGCTGGGGAGCTCCAGGGGGTTGCTGTGCTCCTGGTGCACCTGTGGGAGCAAGGGAAATATTCCATGCAGGGCTGGGAATGTGGCTCATTAAAGAGAGGTTTGGCAAACAGGAGAGGGCGAACAAAAGAGGGAGGAAAATTCTTTGAGGACTGAAAAAACACCGCTGAAAGGCAAGGAGGCAGTGAGGTCCCTGGGATTTAGCCAAAGGAGGATCCAGAGGTGCCTTGAATCCGCTCTGCAAAAATGTTCCTGGGATACAGCAAGCTCTGAAAGGGCCTTTTAATCCAGCAGGGAAAGCACAAGAGAGCCAACAACTGGAAGCTGGAGCCAGACACATTTAAATTAGAACAAAAGACACATTTCTAATAGTGAAGTAATTAACCACTGGAACGAATTATCAAGGGGAAGTGCTGCTTTCTGAGTCTCTTGAAGTTTTCAAATTAAGCCGGGATGTTTTTTTTCTGAGGAAAGGTTTCAGTTGAGGAAAAACAACTGAAGGAATTCGAGCCTGTGCTTGAGTGTCAGCCCAGACCCTGCAGAACATTCTGGCCTCAAAATCAGTTTTTTTGATAAAACTGGTGGAATTTTTAAGGCAAACCCAGAGTCAGGTAATCGCCATGTAATGGGAAGAAGAGACATTTCCCAGCATTTTCCTATTCCCAGTGGAGCTGGTCCTGCCACAAGCTGTGCTCTTACACTTGTCTCCCTTGGGGCAATTCTTTTGCCCTCTGGTAAATGGTATCTGTACAAAATTTGGAATTTGGAGAGCGGTCTGCATGCATCCCCAGAGACCTGCTCTGGACCATGGGGCTGCAGCTCCCTGGTGCAAAACCACCCTGGAAGCAGAGCCCTGTCTGAGCTGGGGTTCTCCTTGCAGGACACTATAAATACATGCACAGATAAATATATTTATATTTGTCTGTTGACATTTCTGTGGCCCATGGAGCAGCAGCAGCACTGCAGTGGCCGTGCCTGGGGTGAGGTGGTCCCTGTGTGTTTGGTGTCAGACAGCTTGGCCCTTCCTGTGAGCTGGGGCTGAGCTGGGAAGTCAATCACAGCTGCTCCGTGGAGCTCTGGTCCTGTAATTACTCTGTGATTAAATAAAAACGTAATTCCTTCAACACCTCCGCACTCCTGCTTTATTGCAGGAGAACCCACACAAGGAATTAATGTTTAAATAATGGCTTTCCTCCCCAGGAGCAGGCTCTGAGAGAGGCAGGAGTATATTAATGCTCTGTCCCACGGATGGAAGGAGCAGCACTTTGCTGGGGCCATGGAGCGCAGCATCCACTGGGATTTTCCCAGTGATCTCTGTCCCCACATCTTTTGGGCACAGCCCAGGGCATCCCCTGGGCAGAGTGCAGAGTCCCTTTGCGGGGTGCAGCACCCCAAATCCCCACCGCAGCTGGCACGAGCAGCCTTCCTTGGCAGGGCCTGGAAATTTCCTGGTGATTCCTACAGCTGGGGTGGAAATTTGGTGCCTGGAGGAGTGCAGAGAATCCCAGCTGCTGGCTGCACTGATTTCTGAGCTGTCCATCTCTCCCTTTCAGCAGATGCCAGCTGGGGTGGCGATTCTTCAGGTTCTGGTGAAGAATTGTCTCTCCCTGCAAAGGGCGACGCAGCTTCAACCTCTTTATTAAACCAAGCACAATCCTGTGCGCCAGCAGAGATGAAGAAAAGCTCCTGATAAGTGGGACTGGCCATTCCCTGGGTTTCCAGTCTCCTTGGTTACAGTACACCCCACAAATGCTTTTCTCGGAGAGCAGGCAGTGAGCAGAGCTGGAATCCCAGATTGGAGGGGTTCTCCATCTCCCTGCCTCGTACCTGGAGCTGCTGGGAGGATGCTCAGCGCAGGAGGGGCTGGGGAAGGGGCTCCTGCTGGTTCTGCAGAGGTGTCTGAGTGATGCAGCTGGAGCAGATCCAAGGGGCTCTGGGCAACCCCAAACCCTGAAGCCCAGACAAGCTGCTCCCAGCTATTAACAAGACTGAATGGAAAATGTGCTGCCTGTTGTAACTGGTGTGAGGATATGGGGACCAGTGTGGGGCTCAGAGAGCCTAAGCCTGAACCCAGCACCTCCAAGGAAGCCCAGCAGGGTGCTGGTCCCATATTTAATGCACAGCAGGGTGCTGATCCCATCTTTAATGCACAGCAGGGTGTTGGTCCCATATCCAAGGCACAGAAGGGTGCTGGTCCCATATTTAATGCACAGGAGGGTGCTGGTCACATATTTAATGTACAGGAGGGTGCTGGTCCCATATCCAGTGACAGGAGGGTGCTGGTCCCATATTTAATGTACAGGAGGGTGCTGGTCCCATATCCAGAGACAGCAGGGTGCTGGTCCCATATTTAATGCACAGGAGGGTGCTGATCCCACATTTAATGCACAGGAGAGTGCTGGTCCCATATCCAGAGACAGCAGGGTGCTGATCCCATATTTAATGCACAGGAGGGTGCTGGTCCCTATCCAGTGAAAGAAGGGTGCTGGTCTCAGCTCTAGAGCACAAGCAGGAGTGGCTTCAACACAAATTTGCCACACTGACCCCACACCCGTGCAGTGCCCACGGTGCCACGTGCTGCCATGTCACCTCTGCAGTGTCACCCAGGGCATGGCAGTCCCAAGGGATCGCTGTCACCACAGCCAAGCTGTGACAGCCATTAGTAACGTGATCCCCTGGCTGGTCAGAGCCTCCTGTAGCTATGGTAATGGACTACCATAATTCACAATTATAATGTCAGATTTAAACCCCGGGCTTGTGCAAAAGGATAAAAATATCTCTTTGCTCGTGGGATCTCAGTATTATTTGCTTTGCTATATTGGAAGCTAAATGCTCTCATGAACATCAAGTGATTGTGCCGAGATTAAACACTTTTCTTCTGTTTATGCACGTTTCACCCTTTTATAGTTTTATTAAAATGCTGGCTGCACTCTCAATTAAGCGAAATCCTTCTGCAGTTGTAAGCACATTTCACAGGAATAAATAATGTAATCTGAAGGGTGTTTTGGGCTCAAAATCACAATGCAAAGACATTGGGGGGTGCAGAGCTGGGGCAGGGGAGCGGGCAATGCCATCTCACTGTGCTCCAGCAGGGATCGGGGAGCACGGAGCCCTCCAGGTGTGCCCTGCGTGTGCCCCCCTCACACACCTGGTTTGCACCGCCAGGGGCTCATGGCAGAGATCCCATTCTGCACCCCATCCCTCCTGCCTTGTCCTCAGCCACCCATCACAGCAATGCCACTGACACCTTTCATCTTAGGAGCCCAAAGCCCCCTGCATATATTATAAATACTAATGAATTAATCACGCAAACTGCACAGCTTGGGCTCCGCCAAACTCGCAGTCGGCGTTTCTCCGAATTTCGCATGGAAAAATCTGTCTGTTTTCTGCCATCTCTTAACCTCCAAATGTTGCTTTCTTGGCACTTTCCAGAAAGCACATGTTCAGGTTTCCAGCACAGAGTCCTGTTTCCCTGGATCCCTGCCCACGCTCCCCGTGCTCGGCTGAGCTTCCACGTCCTGGTGCTGGTCCCGGTGCCTGCCCGGGGCACCCCGGCACCAAACCCTGCTCCCCCTCCCTGGCACCTCTCCTGCCTGTGTTTGTACAGCACCAGGCAGACCAAATCCCTGTGAAATCCCACCCACCACTGCTGGGAAACTCTGGCAAAGCAGGATGGCTTTATCCTGCAGGATGGCAGCTGACAAAGGCTGTGCTGTTGGAGAGTAATTAAAATGGACAGGTACCAAACCTTTGTCTTAAAGCCCCCGAGACCTTGAGCTATTTCTGACACATCAGCAGAAAGTGGCAGCAGTGTGACGAGCTCAGGGCCACGGCTGGCTCTGGGGGACCCTTCTGCCAAGGCCACGCTGCCCTGGCTGCTCCAGCCAGCAGAGGAGAACATGAATATTCCTTAGGAAAAGCGTTTTCAGCGGCACCGCTTTGCCCCAGTTTTGGATTTTTGCTGTGGGTGATGCCTGGGTGGGTTGGAGTCAGTGCCAGCCCAGAGCTCTGCAGTTGGAATGCAAATGAGCCTCAGATCTGGGATTTGCTTTGCTGGGTGGGTTTTATTCCCTTTCAAACCCTCCCTCTGCTCCAGGTACCCCAGAGCCAGCAGCAGGCTCCTGCTGCAGGAGCTCTCTGCCCAGCTGCTTTGCAATGTGCCACACGAGCACAAAGGCCTTGCACTGGAATTAAGCTCTCGCTGTTCTTTCAGAACATCGATTCAGAGAATTTCATCACTCAGAAAGAGCAGCTTGGCTGGGGGTTGAGAGGGAAAACAACACTTTTCCCCCAAAACCACAGCCAATGTGTGGAAGGTTTATGCCCAGCAGTGGAGTTGCTCCTTCTTCATCACCCAGGTGAGCAAATAAGGACCCATCTCCTGCCCTCAGACCTCTTATGAATTATTTAGCATGATCCAAATTACTGGAAATATTCACTGGCTGTCCAGCTAAATCTAATTTGTATTAAGTTCATTTGGCAGCAATTCTCCTTAATGGCCAGAGTGGCCTTCTGTGGGTGTGTGGTAAGAGTGATCTCTTGGATATAGGTGGGAAAGGCCTGTGTGGGCCTGCACTCCAAAATAACAACGAAAAATTAATTATAGCCATTATAACAGCTCAAAAGTACATTTAGTGAAAGTGGAAAATAGAATGTGGATAATTATAGTGGTTTTCCCCTACTGTATCAATCATTTGATGACATAACAAGCTCCTCTATAAATATAGAATGCATCAATAAAATACCTCACACAGAACACAGAATATATAATATATAATGTATTATATAATATACAATGTAATTATAAGATGCATCAATGTATAATATGTATCAACCATATATTTATATGTAATAGTTTCTTTATAATATATATGCAAAATATACAATTTTGGATATATGATAAATAATATATTTAATCTATTTATAATGCATATTCTGCATTATATGCATTATAAATGCATTATATTCTGCATTATATTCATGATAAATTCTCCATTATTTTGAATTTAGAGAGGCCAGGAGCCACCCAGGGGTCCAGAGCAGGGCCAGCCCTGTCCCTGCTGCTCCCGGGCAGATCCCAGCCCAGGGAAGTCACTGACCAACCCCACCACATCCCCCTTTGCCTTTTGGATCTCAGCTTTTCCAAACCCCCGGAGCAGCAGGATCAGTGTCAGCCTAAACCGAGCCTAGCAGCGCCTCAGCCCAGAGCCCCCAGCTCCTTCCCCTGACTCTTGTCCTGACTTCAGGGATACTTTCCCCCGGGAAGTGGGAGGTGCTGGCAGGAGCGGCTGTGGGGTGGGTGATGCTGCCCGGGTGATCCGGGATGCTCTGGGATGCTCTGGGATGCTCCGAGATACTCCAGGATGCTCCAGGATGCTCCAGGATGCTCCGGGATGCTCCGAGATGCTCCAGGATGCTCCGGGATGCTCCGGGCTGTGCCGGGATTGTCGGGAGGGAGCCGGGCTGGAGCGCAGCACGCTCCTGTCAGGAGCTCAGCAGGAGGTGTGGGCTGCCTGGCACCGAGGCAGGAATCTCAGTGGGACTTCCAGGAGGATAAAGCTCAGCCTGATAAAAACCAGCCCCAGGCTGACAGGCGGCCCTGAGCGAGGGGGAAAGGCAGGAGCTGGGCAGGGAGCACATCCTGCCCTCCTCCTGGCAGGCCCCACGCTGGGATGGGCAGTGGGACAACCTGGGCAGGGGTAAGATCCTGATTGGGATGGAGACAGGGGATTCAGGGTCACCCTCAATGTCCCTGCAGAGCACAGGGACACAATTCCTGCTCTCCATCCACACAGGGATGAGGAAGGTGGCTAAAGCAGCACTGCTATGGCAAATCCAGTCCATTTTCATTTCCCACCCATCCCTGCAGTGCCACGCCATGCCAAAGACTTGGCTCATCTCTTCACAGACCCATTTCCCTGTCACCCTGATTCCTAAGATTTTCTAAAGCCTCCTGAGTTTACATTCTGTTAGAAAATTTCCTCACACAATTTCTATAAACAACACATTGTTTTGCATTCCTTCATAGGCGTAGAGAAACTCAATGTACTGGTGGTTTGTCCAATGTCTTTGGAGAGGTGGCCCATTCACTCTCCAATCCACTGTCACCTTTGGAAAAGTATAAATGCTGGAGTCAGAAAATAAACCCTCTCTTTTTTCACCTTGCAATAGCAGTGGTTCTCGTTGTGCTTTCAGGTGTCCTACAGCGACATTTCCCCATTCCAAACCCATCTGGAAGTCCCAGTGCTGGGGGTGGGCTTGGCCACTGCTGGAGCACGAGCCCAGCCACAGCAGCAAGCAGTGAGCAGGGCAGGGGAGGCTGCACACCTGCTGAGCCAGCCAAGGAAGAATAATTTCAATTCTGTCTCCCTTTTGGAAGGGACACATTTAATGGCAGAGAGGCTCCGTGCATGGCAGCAATCGGGAATGAACTCACTGCGTCCAAGTGCCGTGAAATTGAATCTTGTCAGCGTGGGCAGGAGCTGAACACGGTGCAGGAGAGCTGGGGGTCCCACGTCCCCATCCTTCTGCCAGAGCCACCAACCCATCAGGACATCCCTGGCTGCTCTAGCAGCTGAGGATGTGCAGCTCTTGCTGCTTCCCATCCCCCTGAGCAGAGTTAGGAGTCAAAGCCAAGCGTTCACAGATACAGGTGCTGGGAAAAACAGTTTATTTGTTGGAAAAGAGGCTCACAGACCCAGCTAATCGTTTGAAAGTGCAGTAAATGGAGTCCCCTGATTGCTCTGAGAGCTTTGGAGAAGGCCACAGAGCACTTCAGGCACGTGGTGGGATTCTCAGGGTGGTCTGGTGCAGGACCAGGAGTTGGATCCATGATCCCTGTGGGTCCCTTCCAACTCAGGAATTCTGTGATCTCCTTGATGCCCAGCTCCTGCAAAGTGCTGTGGTTCAGGGGGGTGATGGGGAGACCAGGGAGGTCTCCAGCCCTGGTACCCACCTCAGCAGGGACTGGGAATCACAGCTGAGCCTGCCCAGCTCACCTGCACTGCTGCTGGATTCTCCATGAGGGACAGATGTGATGGGCCAGAGGAAGATCTGCCAGCAGGAAAGCTCCAGGGGTGCTGCAGGATGGCCCTGGACACAGTCCTGGGCGATGGGCATGGTGCAAAGAAGGAGCTCTCACAGAGATCACTCCTCTGAGGAAGGCTTTCCACAGGCACAGCCAGTGGGAGAAAAGAGCACCCTTTAATTATGCTAATTAGAGCCTTGGCAGTCTCGTTGCTTGGTGCTTTTGCAGACATTTCCCTGTGCCAGGGTCTGCCCCTCCTGGAGAGGGAGGGATGTGGGCACAGGGGTGCAGGGCTCCAGGGGTGTTACCCTCCCATTCCTGCCGACCCCAGCTCCCAGCTGCACTCGGGTGAAGCATCCCAGCCGACTGGCAGCCCTCTCCCTTCTCCAGAGCTGACATGGAGCCTCCACACTTCCCTCCCCACAGCCTCCATCCCTGCCAGCAGCACAGGGCAAAGCTCCTGTGCTGAAAGCAGGCGAATGTGCTAAAGCACAGGAGCAATGGGAATAACTCCTGTCCTCCCACTCCAGGCTATAAATGGCCGTGGTCCTGCTCCTGGCTGGCTCAGCCATCAGTTTTGTGTCTCCTGAGCACCCCGGGGGGAGCAGGAACCAGAGCTTTCCCTCCTGTGCTGTGCACACGTTGTATTTTCCACCGGCCAGAGCTGATGGATGGCTCGGTCTCACCATCCATGAGCTTTGCTCTCTGGCTGCTCCAAGGGCAAACAATTCTCTGGACTCAGCCTGAAACGCTCCAGGCCAAGCATCGTTTTGTCCTGGTTTGTCATTAAAGGATGTGCACAGCCATTCCAAGTGACAGAGCAATTTCCTTTGTGTCCTGCAAAGCAAAAGGAAAAGAAAGAAGTCAGCGTATTACACACAAATCTGCTTTTCTCCCACAAGTTGAAATAGGAACGGCTTAATTTCCAGCCAGCCCAACACTGTAGTAATTCCAAATCAAAGGCTTTGTGTCAAAAGAATAATTTTGCTACAGCCACAAATAATGGGCAATTTATGTCACGTTTGGAGATGAGATTAAAAACGAGTTGTGAAGTGACACCTCAGCCTTCAGAAGGCAAAGGTGGGGCAGCACTGAATTCCTGCTCCTGAATGTCCTTTCTTCAGGTGCCACTGCTGTCCCTCCCCTCAATGCCACCAGCTGGCTTGGGGCAGACCAGGGTCCCGATGCTGGAGCCCCTCTGCTCTGGAGCCAGGCTGGGGGAGCTGGGGGGGCTCACCTGGAGAGGAGAAGCTCCAGGGAGAGCTCAGAGCCCTTCCAGTGCCTAAAGGAGCTCCAGGAGAGCTGGAGAGGGACTGGGGACAAGGCATGGAGGGACAGGACCCAGGGAATGGCTTCCCACTGCCAGAGGGCAGGGCTGGATGGGATATGGGGAGCAAATCCTTCCCTGTGAGGGTGGTGGTGCCCTGGCACAGGTGCCCAGAGAAGCTGTGGCTGCCCCTGGATCCCTGGAAGTGCCCAAGGCCAGGTTGGACAGGGCTTGCAGCACCCTGGACTAGTGGAGGCTATCCCTGCCCATGTCATGGGGAGGAACTGGATGATTTTTAAGGCCCCTTCCCACCCAAACCCTTCTGTGATTCCCTGGTTCTGTGAAATCCCTCTGGGGAGCAATACTCACTGCGAAGAGAAAAGCACTTGCTTTTTTTCCTCCCAGAAATAGCCGAATCATTAAAAAAGACCAATTTAAAACTAATTAGAGGCAATTTCTTCATCTGCTGCCTTCTTGCATGAGGCACTCATCCTGAAAGGGACACGTGGGAGCAGAGGGAATGTCACCCTGAGCAGAGCTGCCTCCTGCCAGGCTCTGGCCCCGCGGAGCTGCCGGGAATGTCTGGGAATTGCTGAGCAAAGCGCTGCTGGGAGCCCTCATTCCCCATCCATCGCTGACAAGGGAAAAGCTGCTTGCTGCAAGGCTTTGCTTTAAATGAGAAGCGAAGGTGAAGAATACAACAGGCAAAACAAAATGCTGAACAGTGCCCAATTGGCCTTTCAAGCTGCCATTGCCCTGTGGCTGTCCCGGGGGATCCCAGGAGAATGTGTAAATTGGTGGAAGTATCCTAGCCAAGGAAATGACTTGGAAATCCCTGATAGAGAAGAGAGATTTGTGCATGGACCTTTATCTTTTTGCCCCAAATCTCTGATCAAGGAATAAGTTTGGATCTCTTCTAGGCAAGAAGGGTAAGGCTGAGAAAAGAGGTTTTTGTGGAAGGAGGTGTTCAGTTCTGCACTGCACAACTTCCACAGACCTGCCCCCACCGTGGGGAAAGGAATAACAAGAAGGGACCTGTGTGTCAAAGAAGCAAATTTTTTATTGTGTAAAAACCAAGCAGACATTAAATAGAACTCCCCATTGCCCATGTGCCTTGCATGCCACTGGGATGTGCCCAGGTGTCCCCCACAGGCTGGAGCAATGGAAACACAGATGGATCCATCAAATACCTGTGGAATTATAAAAATTTCAGAGCTCTGCTGTTGCTGGGTGTCACACTGAGACCCAAGAGCATCCTGGAAGATCAGCTGAATTTTGAGCAGTGCAATGTGGGATGAGATACCTGGGCTGCAGCTCTGGGTGACAAAGGAGGGGTTTGGTGTCCCCCCAGTTCCCCTCAGAGCAGCTTTCCCAGTCCATGGCACATCCTCAGCACCTGTGGCAGCCGCTGGGTTTTAATTTAAGCACCAACTCCCAAGTCATCAACTGCAGGAGAACAGGAAAGTCCTTATCCCCGCGGCTGGCCCTGAGCAAAGCTGCGGCGCTGGGAAACGGGGCAGGAGCATGAGGAAACCAAGACCAAGACAAGTTTGTAGAACCATCCCGTGAGTTTTGTGGAGCCATTTGCAGTCTCTGCTCAGGTGAGGGGGTTCTGCCAGGAGCAGGGGAGCTGTGTGCCCGACTGGCTCCTCGTCACAAGCTGCTGCGCTCGATGGAAACGAATCCTGCAGAAAGTGGGACGTTGCATTATGCAAATTTGCTTCCTGGAAAGAAATGTTTTATTAACACACACTCCCTTCGTGTGTTGGCTTAGTCAATTTGGTCACAGCTTGACATCCAATAAGTTACTCTAAAGGCAATGGTTTTACAAAATGTTTTTTTAATCTATTTTAAACACTTAATTACAGTTGTGGCGCATTCATTAGGGACTCCACTTTCAAACCTGGATTGCAGCAATAAATCTTAATTCTCCAAGTGTCAGTTGCAATCCAAGACATGGCATCCAAGTGGGTGTCAGAGGCTGTTGAGGACTGGGGGAAGGATGTCTGGGCCAGGTGGGAGCCCCATCCTCCAGAGAGGGAACCCCCAGCATCCAGCCTGAGCTGGTTTCTAATCACCACAAGAAACTTGTGCCCCTGAGGAGGGAGCACTTGGAGGGATGAGTCTGCCAGGTGCTGGGGTGGGATCTGAGGAATGCTGGTTTTGGGAAGCCCCAGTGAATTTCGAGCGAGTGCTGTGGAGGGCTCTGGGGCTGTCCCTGGCACCAGCAGCGTCCCCACTGCAGCTCTGAAGGTACATAGGGGGACCAGACCCAGTGCCACACACCCCAAGGGACACCCTGGGATGCTCTGACACACCAGGAGGAGCATGGTGACTCCTGCTCTCCTGAGATATCCTCTCCCCAACATCAGCACCCCAAACGTGCCCCCACACTCTGAGCCCGTACCATCGGTGGCTAGCACAGTTACCTTAGTCTTTGCCCAGATACTTCTTCATGATGCTGCTGACATCGTCCTCCTTGCCCTCGGCCTCGGCTCGGCGGCTCAGCCCGCTGCCCTGGGCGCCGGCTCTGCCGCTGGAGCCCTCCCCGGCCCCTCTCGGCGGCTGCGGCCGGCGCTTGATGCTGTCGGCGCTGCGGGAGGACCGCCGGGATCCGGAGGATGAGGAGGAGTCGGAGAGGTCCCCGGGCTCTTCCCGGCTGCACTTGGCCGTGCCCTTGGGCTCCGGGCTGCCCGCTACGGCCTCGTCCTCGAAGCGCACGGTGAGGGGCCGGTGGCCGTCCCTCCTGTCCCTGCGGGCCCTGGCCAGGCTGCTGGCGGAGCGCGACTTGCGGATGGCCGGCACGAAGTCATCGAAGTCAACCTTGGTTCTCCTCTCGTAGTTGAGGGTGGGTATCCGCCAGCTGAAGGGGTCGCTCCCCTTCCCCTCTCCCAGCCCATCGCCGCACAGGGAGCTCAGAAATGCCCCCGGCTCCTTGCCCAGCTCCACATCCTCCAGCGAGGGCTCCAGGCAGCTCCTCCAGGAGCTCAGCCGCGGCAGCTCCATCCCGGCAGCCGGGGAGCTGGGCCGGCGGCCGGAGCCGTCGAGGGCCGGCAGGAGGGAGTCGTAGGAGCCGAATCTCGATGCCTTTTTCAGCGCTGGGGAGCGCGGCGGCTCGGCCGGCTCCGAGGCCATACTCCGCAGGCTGGAGGAGCGGGTGAGGCTGGCACCTTCCCCTTCCCCTTCCCCTGCCTGATCCCCCTGCAGCCTCCCCGGGGGCTCCTCGGCCGCTGGGGCAGCCCTGGAGCGCCGCAGGGTCGCGGCGCCGGTGGTGCGGTAAATGGGCAGGGGAGAAGCATCCCCCGGCCCCGGCTCCGCTGCCCGCTGCCGCCGCAGCTCCTCCACGTACTCCGAGAGGGCGGCAGAGCTGGGCACCGGCCCCGAGGCCACCGATGCCACCGATGCCACCGAGAGCCTCCTCCGGCTGGGCACCGGCGGGGACGCCGCGCCGGGGAACCGCCCGTCCGCAGCCGGGGAGCCGCCCCGCCGCGGCACCGATGGGGATGTCTCTCCTGTCCTATCCACGGGCTTCTTTGGGCTCTCCACCTCCTCTTCTTCTGCCTGAGGTTTGCCATATTCCCGTCTTCTGGCTCCCAGCAGGGGACTCGCTGTCCTCCCCGGGTCCGCAGGCTCGGCGGGCCGGGCAGCGCTCCGGGAGGAGAGAGGCTGGCTCACCTTGGCGTCTCTGCTCAGCCTGGACAACAGAAACTGGGGTTAGTTTAGACTCTGGGATTCCCAGTGACCGGGATGTCATCCAGCAAGGACAAGGCTGAGCAGTGAAAAG